CCGCAGGGAGGGTGCGGGGTGGGGAGCGGCCCGGGGCCGGGGGAGCCAGCGCGCTGCCCTTGCCCCCGCTGCTCCTCGTGTGAGGCCATTTCAGCCCAGCTCGTGTGCGTGAGGAGCCTTCCCTAAAGCTGTGCTCGGGAATACTTACCCGTGCGTGGGGTTTTGGTACGGAAACGCAGTAGTGCAACTGCTCTGCAGGTGATTAAAGGGTATGCCCGTGGTTTTGGTGGACAGATTCGTCAAGAAAACCCAACTGTGAAATCATCACCACTGACAGGACAACATGCCCAGCTCTGTAGGGCTTACTCGACCTTTCTGGACATAAGACTTGGCCTGAAACTGCAAAATAATAGCTCTAAGTTCTTGCAGTCCTAGAAGCAGCCAAAACCCGCTTATTCCTGATGAGGCCTAACACAGAGCAATTTCCCTTTCTCAGTTACAACTTTTCCTTCCTGATTCTTAATTGGAAATTTTCACCCAAGAAGCAGCCATCCATATGATCTGAGAGACAGTGAAAGAAGCAAGATAATGTGTTAACCTAGAGGAGTTGGTAAACCCCAAACTCTTTTCATTTGCTACGACTCTGAAGCGCTTTCAGTTTGTAGCATCAACACCTGAGAACATCTGGTTAGGAAAGGCAGAAACATGCCAAGCAATGACACACCTCTGAAGTTAAATAAGCTACTTAGTGACTGAAAAGCTGTTACAATTGGTACCACACCACCAGACAAAGCTTTTCCAAGTTCCTGGTTCTGTGTACATGGAAGGGCACAGAGCACAGGGAAGAGAAGAACCCAGTTCAAGGGACTCGATTCCAGCTTTTATAGACCATAACAGCAGGACAGAGAGTGCCTTGGGCCTTCACGGCTTCTCTCAAGTGTTCATAAACTCTTTCTTTTCTTCTGACCACTATACTCAGGTTAAAACTTAGGTCAAAATAGTGGATTGAGCAGAAATGCAGAACTGCAGTGCTCTTCCCAACTACTTTTTAAACAAACCAAGTGCCCACTTCTTCGATTTCCAGAAGCAGTGATCGTCCACCGCTGATCATTCAAGGCCAGGCTGGACGAGGCTTTGAGCAACCTGGTCTAGTGGAAGGTGTCCCTGCCCGTGGCAGTGGGGTTGGAACCGGGTGGCCTTTAAGGTCCCTTCCAACCCAAACCTTTCTGTGATTTACTAACGATAGAAACTGAATTAGCAGCCCAAGTCATGGGAGACTGGTAAGTCTTAACAGAAGTTTGGACCAGTGTTACCTGACCCTGGCGGCATTTGTTAAATCATGGACAACGCTGGGTCTACCAAGAATAGTGACTCGGGAAGCATGTCCTTCCCCCGGGAGCCTGCAGCACCCACAAGGAGCCATCCCCTCGGCTGCGCTGCTCGGAGCCACCAGCATCAGTCCTGTTGCCGAAACTGCAGAGGATGCAGCCGCGTGCCTCGGTGCTGAACGTACAGAGCATCAGCAACAGCACGGCTGTGACAGCACGAACTGCCCGAGTGCACAGCGGCTGCAGCCTCTGAGCAGCGTCTTGGGGGGAGAGATTCAGGCCCAGGAAATGAGAATGGTTAGCCAGACAAAGTACCTACAAAGAAGGGCTGAAAGAGAACTTGACAGAAACGTGCAAATGCAAAATGTGCTGAGAAGCTTTACGTTCCTGCTCTGTGAGGACAGACAGATGAAAGAGGAGGAAATTTCCTTTAGAAAAAGAAAACTTAAACCCCTCAAATTTACCAGGTATTGTTACTAGGCACAATAAGACCATCTGCATGTTTACTGTTGGGTATTCTGCAATTAATGCACTGCAGACTTGCTGAATCTTGCAGCAGTAATTCTAGGCTACAGGAGACGAACAGAGCTTTGCTGTACCTACTGATAATTCCTTTAGCATAGTGATTTAGGGAAAAAGGATTAATTTACCCAGCATGTCAATGTTTTACAAAACCGTGTATGACATGAGCCTTCTGAACACAGTTCAGAGAGAACTCTGTGTCTAATGTTTCTGCTTGAAGGAGTGAGTATCTGAGAGCAGGAAATACCATTAGAGCTGTACAACTAGAGCTCCCCAGTACTGCAAGAATAAAGCTACATTCAAAACACCACACTGAAATAAGTGAAGATAAGGATTTGCTTTAGATGTTTATTAATCCAAGGAGATCTTCCATAATAGAAAAACCAGAGGCTTTAAATTTCCCAGTTCTTCCTTTAGAGTTGCATTATCCTTAAAAATGGAATGGATAAGTGCAAGTTCTAGAAGGAAGATCAGTGTTAAATTTGACAGAAGTGTATAACCGAAATTGATATATTGCATCACAAAATGCACTATCACCACCAACAACAATGCAAAATTGTTTTGCAATTTATATAAATACATTCTTGGAGCAAAGGAAAGCAAAAGTTCTAGATCCATTCTTAAAAAAAGATGCTCCTTGCTAACCAGTCTAGCGACACATAAAAGCACCCTTGAAATAAGACTGTATTCCTCACAGCAAGATAAAATTCTTCCTTGACTTGTGACTTGAAAAATAGAACCGTTCCAGAGATGACAATGGCACTAAATTGGTGATTTTCCCCTCATTTTTTTAATCTGCTTTGTATCTAGAGCCTTCAACCCAAACCTCTGCTGTATCTTCTCTGCTGTATCTTCTGCCATGAGGCAAAAGCGTCCCATCTGACCTAAAAGGTTCTTGGGTTATTTGGGATAACAAGACAGGCAGATTCCCACCAAGCAGATGTTGAGAAATGACTGATGTCAAACTGGGCATTGGTCAAGGCTGGCACAGGAAAAGGCATGCCGTAATTATGCCTGTCACCATTTTCTACAAAAATAAAACCTTGTCTAGAGATTATCTGGAGGCCGGAGTACACCTGCATGTACTCGGGAGCTACACACCTACAAAAACCAGTTCTGCTCTACGGACTCGGCCAGTCAGCTAAAGATTCCGAAGCCCTGCCGTGGCTCTCACACCACTACTGTAACGGATACTGCGATTCGAGGCTTAATGCTTTCCGGCTTTTTCACATCAGGTGCACTATCCACCCTTTTAAGTCCGCAATTTGCTTTTAACGCATCCCTTTGGTATTTGGCTGGGGCAACATGGCATTACAGTCCTGGCTCAGTCTCTCACGTTAGCACTCCGTGTGCAGGAAATTGTTTTTGCCAGCTAAAGGCAGAGCAGAGGAGTGACTGGAAAAACCCATTTCACCTGCCCAGAAAAGCGCTAGTGGTTGTGCAACAAGGGGAAGGCAGAGCATGGTGCTGGTCAGCTCACCAGGGAAACCCCAAACCACGAATTCCTGCTACTCTGCTGATGCAAAAAACCACACCACACAAACCAATTTTCTGAAGACTGCATTTTGAGTATCATAATATATATATATGTGCATTTCATTTTTACAGATATAAACTCAGTTCATTTTTAACCTGTATTTAAATTTTGGAGGCTTACATTAAATTAAGGTAGCTTGTTTAATATCAATTGTAACAGCAGGTGACTTTTTTATATAAAAACAGCCAAAAGAAAAAAAAAATCCAAACATTTGATTTAAAAGACCTGACACCAATGATCTCAAGGCAAGATCAAAAACCTATGGATTTTTGCTTTTACAAAATAAAAAGGGGGCATTTAAGCCAACCCATTCACAGCATCTCCCTGCTGGCTTCTTCATACAGTGGTTTTGATAGTGGTCCCAGAGGGAACTGTATTTTGCCTCTCTAGCTAAAATACTAGTTACTATAGCAACTTTGAAGGAAGAAAATTGTGGCTTCAAAAATGAAAGATTGGCAAAACTTCAAATACACTGTCTGGATCAGGCAGACAACAGCACACACTGATGCTGGGAGTGCAGAAAGAGGGGGAATGAAATGCAGGAGTAGTGCAACTGCACTACCATGTGCTGGGGAAAAAAAAACTTGCAAAATTGGGGGTTAAAATTTGCATTCATAGATCATCGACCAGATCAGCCAAATTGCTGTGGTTTTAACAGATTGCATATATAGATGTTTCATCTACACACTTCAATTGACTCTTAAAAGCAGAACTTCACATCTTATTTACCTGCTTTAGAGAAGTTAACTTTTCCCTCAGTGCTTACAGTACACATTCGTATCCAAATTTCAGCCTGTACAGTGAGATCTTAAAGAAAAACAAAGGACACAGAGGGTATTGTGGATATTTTTAGCAGCAATGAAATATCACTAGCCCCCTTTTTACATAACCAAATTCAAGTCACAACCAGAGGTGACTGCACCACAAAGTCACCAGGTACAAAACTGCTAGTTCATTTTAAATTAATAACTTGAAATTATTTTCCCCCAATACATCCCTTATGTTTTATTTTTTTTATAAACAGCAAACATTTTGCTATTTTTGTACATAGGCTAGCAGGCTTGTTTCAATATGAAAGTGCTAATTCATTTACAGATTTATCAGTTTTGTAGTGCTACATTAAGTGTCCAATATTCTACATATGAACAATCTTGATGGAAATGATGAAGATTAAGTAAGGCTGATTACCTTATCTTATTTACATTAAAAGAATAGACACCCAATAGGAAGGGAGAAAAGGGAAATAAATTGGGCAAATACTCATACTGCCACAGGTGTAAAAATTAAGTCTGCCTTCTAGCGTGTCCTGTAAATGAGACATTTTGAATAGTCCTGCAGCCCATGCCTATTTTTTTCCTCAGAAAAAGAAAAAAAGCTGCCTTCATGACATCCCCTCTTGATTTCCGATCTCCAAAGTGTGTCATTTGAAGCTTTAAATTCAGATTCTTTGTATCTTCAAAAAAAAAAAAAACCTCTGGTTTGCCTTCCAGTATTAGGTTGCATGATCAGGTTCCACTTCTGGGGCTTTTGTCCAATCTATGTATCAATTAGTTTTAGAGTGAGCTGTAGATAACATGAACCAGTTCTGGAACCACTATTGGGAGGAACACAAGCTCTTCACTACAATCACACAGTAGCAGGAAAAGTGATAATTCAATTCATTCCTGGGGCAGGGCCTCCAAAATTAAATGAGGTTGGCACAACTGGAGCATTGAATTTGTATCCTCCATGTTTTTCGATCATTTTGGATTCTAAAACAAAACAAAAACACCAAGGTATTTAGTGCATTTTAGTGTAGGGGGAAGACAGATGAAGATTTTGTGGCTGACCATATTGTGAGTCTCTCAGAGATACAGGTTTACCCCAGGGTTACCCAAGAAAGTAGTCAGCACCCGCAAAGTGGAAATGCACCAGGCCCCGAACAAGGCATTATTTATTAATTTATTTCAATTTACAACTATTGTTATAGCTACGCCTAATTGGTATCAGAAAAAGCCCACACTTCAGCTTTCAGACACAAGTGTGTCATTTTCACGTTTCACAAACAGAACACGAATGACTGAACTTCTTACCAGGTGCCAAATTCTGATTAACATTAAATGACTTTTCAGTCAAAACAACAACAGAACACATGCACAAGAAAGCAGGACACAGGTATTACCTAAATTTTCAGTTTTTATCACTTTCTATTTTCAACCAAAGCTTAGGAACTTTTCGCATTTGAGGTCCACATACTCATCACTGTAACTAACACTCCAGTTTTACCCACTGCATATTCCATCCCTTGAATATTACGGTAAGACTGGCTTTCACAAGCTCTAGTACATGGACAACTGAAAATTACATGTATTTGTACATTAATGAGATGTAATTATATTTAAAATCCTTTTAACAGGATGTCCCCACATGCGGTTGGTAGCCTAAATGACTCCATTTATCAGTATGTTCTGATAGTTACACATGAACTTCCTGTAAGGATCTATTTGTTAAACTTCCAAGTCTGAGCCTAACTCACTCTGAGAGTAAACATCTGGTAGAAAAAGAACATTCCTTTTCCTGAAACGTACAAGTAGTATATAATCTCATCAGTGTGATGTCTAGTGCCTGAAAGGGGTCCCAGTGAAACTGTCATAACCATCAGAAGTGGACTATTCTGCACACTTATAAGATTTATAAGGTAATTTAGGCTGTTTTCCAACAAAAACTACTTACAAAATGTGCATTTTTACTACCAACCTTTCTACTGAAAGATTTATGAACTTCTGTTTTGTAACATCTTGTAGACATTGCTCAGTAAGATGCAGGATATGAGACTGGACTGGTAACTCAAAGTTCTGCCTCGACTTCAGAGTGATGTATGTAGGCTTACTCTCAAACACCTGAGGAAACTTGCCAAAAAACACGCCCTGAAGATCTGCCCACTTATACTCTTGTTCTTCAATACAGACAATACAGATTTAACAATTTGAAGTATTTGATAGCTTCATAACGTAGCTTTACGTTTATCATAGTGTAGATGGACACTACTGCCATAATCCTGTACTCTCCCACCCATTGTCTACCCAGCTGGACTAGGTCACATCAGGAAATAATTTGTCAGCTGATTAACGTGTGTGTTACCACCCCTAGAGTTCATCCACCTTCAGGTAATCAAATCAACTGTTTTCCAATCCAAGGAATTATGACAAATACGATTTTAATTACTTGGCCACTTCATTAAGACTTTTCTGTCATTCCTTACACCTATCATAGTTTGTGTGACCTGACAATCTTAGAGAGATTTCTAACATCTCTGCCACGTAAAACAACCCTGCTTTCACGAAGACATTATCGGGCTTGAATTGCAGGCATTTTCTGTAGTACGCTTCTCGAGCACAAACATTGTTCAGTCAAAGAAGCAATTAATGGTATAAAGGGGGAAAAGTACCATGTGCTGCCCGCCTCTGATCTGCCAGAGTCGCTATGTCCTGCAGTTGTTTTCGTTGTTCTTCATTAAGACCCTGTGTCAAAGCTTGGTACCACACAGGGTTACGGTTCTGAATTGCTGCAAGAGAAAAACCACATACGCAGAGTGTTCATTACAACGTTCTGTGACTCAAGCTTACTCACTACTGTCATTTCAGCCTGTTAGGCAGACATAACTCAAGACTTTTAAAAACCCTAATGCAACTGCTGACCTCTTCCCTCCCACCATAAATTCCATCAAGCATCTCCCCTGCTCTGAAAGTTTAACGTTGGCTTCCCATTTCCAAAGGCAGAACTTGTTCAAAATAAATACTGGAATGCCTGTCTGGAAGCCTTCAACGGGTGCGTGTTTACAATGCCATATGCTAAAATTAAGTTGCAATGTAACTTGTTGGGCAGGAAAGGAAATAAAGTTACTTACTCTGAAAAATTGTTTTAAATATCTGATATTCATCAATAGGGTTGTCTTCATCATCAATAATTGTGGAATAACCTTCCAAAGCAGTCTCTTCAGCATCATCTTCTTCCCAGTCTTCATCATCTCCATCTTCACCTGCCTGCTTTGCTAGGATTTCTAGATATTCTTGACCATCTTCATCAATGTCATCTTCATCACTCCCCAATTCCTCTGAGTTGAACAGCACACACACAAGTTTATCTCAAGAACAGTAAGAGCAACTCTTCAGGTAGATGGCTGATTATGCACAACAGGCAATGGAACAGTTGTAGGTAATTTTGAACTTTATATGAAGAAGGTGGCAGAATATGTGAAAGTCTGAAATGATGTATAAAGGCCAATGAAGTTGAGATTACATTAGTCAGGGGGGATCACAAGAACTGCCAATATACAGCTAAACCACCAGCAGCTCACGGGACAATTCTGATACACAGTCCAGACTGTGCAGTGACTTAGAAGGCTTCCAGGAAGCTCCTTCTACTCTTACCCTTCACTCAAATGGGAAATACACCTCAGTAATAATTCCTTTCAGCAATGACAGCGCCCCCCCCCCCCAAAAAAAAAGCTAGCCTGAGGGGACTCAGCCTACAAAGTAGGTTTTTCAGAGGGACTGGAAAGCAAGTCGGATGAAAGTCATTAAAGGATGTCCAGTCTTCTACTGCAGCTTTTGGGTTGTGGAATTAGAGAACTCTGAAGAATTCTACAAAAGGAACTCAGCATCTCCATCAGAAAAAAAATGAGAAATACAAAGTAATAGCCACGTTTCAGTTCCCATACCTGTTTCCTCATCTTCTTCAGCTTCATCATCATCATCGCTGTCATTTTCATGCTCTGCATGACAGGCATACGCTCTTTTCAATCCATTAAATAAAAGGATAAAAGCTGGCAGGATCTGACCAGCAACTTGATTTAAAACCTGTGGTATTTGCTCCAGATCAATAAGAGCACACAAGCCCAGCACACACATCTTTCTATCGTGAAGTCTGCGAAAAAAGAGAGTAAAAGAGTTGCAAGTTCTGTGATGACTTTTACAAGCAGGTAACAGAGAGGATAACCTTCAGAATGAGGAACACTCACCCCAAGAAACAGTCCACGTCATTAAGCCACTGCGTTATGAAGTGATTGGTGACAGGCTCCACATTATTGGGAAAACGAAGATTTTCCAAAGTGTTTAATAGTAAATGAGGATTGTAATACAAAGCAGCTATGGCAACCTGGAGGCACATGGTTCGCAGTTCACTTGTTTTCACTTCTCTGGTCAACCTCTCCAACGCAGCTTCCACAAATAAGGGTATGCACTGAGGAGGGAGAACCATTACAGGCTTAGTGATCAAAAAGGAATGTTGTAGTTCTGTATTATACACTAAAGCTGAGAAACGGCATAAAACAAGTCTGGCATATAACTACAGAGGGCATGAATTAGGAGTAATTTTAAATTGCCAGCAGAAGTCATGCTCAAAGAAGAAATGAAAAGGCGAAAAGATTTAATCTACTCCATGCACACGGATTTTGTGACATCATGCCCTGTAGATGTAATTCCCGGTTCTATAATCTAGTGTTTTAAAAATGAAAAATAGAAGAAACATGTACACTAGGAAGTCCAGGAAAATCAGTGTAGTCATTTTTAATATCCACAAAGTCAATAGATAGTAATAACATTCCAAGAAGACAGGTCTTCAAAGGAGTAACCTCTTCAGAGATGCCACAATGGAAAAAAAAGCTATAGAAGATTCTCTTCCAAATAAATTCAAAATTAAAGTTTCCAGGGACCATGTTCACAAGTATTAAAAAGCTGGCAAGACCATCTGAACAGCTATTCTACAGTGCTTGTCATGCACACAGTGGGAGCACACAAATTCACCTCTCATTCCAACTTCCATATGGGAATAATGAAGTCCCTGGTTCCTCTATGACATTATTTGGGATCCTAGAAACTTCATTTTCATTCTCATTTATTTTGAGGCTATTAACTGGACAGACTGAATAACTGTTATGCAATATTCAATAGGATGAACTTAGAATGTAATTAATTGACTTCTAGAACAAAGATTCTCCTAAAACAGTACCCTTCCAGATTCAAGAAAACACCTGGGATTTGCAGTGCCTAAAATTCTGGAGACAAAGTGTGCAAAATCCACCTCTGCTGTCCTGTTAACTAAGAACACTAAGGTAGAAGACAAGATTATTAGTCACACTACACCACTTCTCAAAACAGAACTGAGGTTAATACACATTCAATTTATATTTGAGAACAAAATGGTTTTAAAGTTTTACTAGTTATAGCAACCAAAGTTGTTACCAACCTGATCAATGCCACGCCCTTTACACTGAAGAATAATTACTTCTAACAGCTTTGCTGCATGACACTCAGCATCTTCTCCAGCAACTCCTGTAAGGACCTGAAAAATAACAATTACTGCCGATGACATCCCTTAAAGAAGTCTTTTCCAAATACTGCTTTGCTTTACCTACTCCATTGCAATGCCAGGGTAACTTACTGTTATGCTTAACAAACTGTCTAAGCATCCACTGCCATTTTGCAAAGGTGTATTTCCATACACAAAACAAATGTTTCTTACACATTCATGTACTGATTTTTGTAAAAGTTGTATTACAACTGAATTACATGTTTAATATTTAATGATAATAGTAATTCTATTATAATATAAATAAAATCAACAGGAGCTGAGAAGCCAAGATGAATACAGAAACACTGCACAAAAGTGACTAAGTCAGAAGAACTGCATTCAGCTCCCAGCTTTCATCACTGGCATGAACTTGGGAAAATAACTTCATATCCCTAGCCCTCTACTTGCCATCCCTACTCCACTTGTTTTAGCCAACAGATGTAAGACCTTGAGCATGCATATGGTGTTAACCTAGCCAGAGTGAGGCTATAAAACTCAAGACAGAAGCAATCACCTACCTGTTGCAATATGCATACACGTGTTTAGCATGCCTGTATGCACAAAGGGGATTACACAAAACACACATGCACACAACCCTGCGTTGTCTAATCTGCGGTTGTTGTGTATGATTCATTTCTTCCCTTTTGGTAAAAGCATTTATTTGTAATGTGATGCAGCCTCTTTAGATTTCTCTGCAATAACTTAGAAACCTATGGAATCACAGAGGATGTTAAACATCATGCTTTAAGAGCAGACATCAAAATTCTTCTGTTTCACCACCTGCTGTTGTAGAAAAAAGTACCCAGTTTAACAGTGTATTACTTCAGAGATCAGAGGTTTTGTAATCACAAAGGAATCTACCTACCTTCTTGCACATACTGTAGATCATTTCAAGATATTTTGTGTCTGACAGAAGTGTGTCTGTATCTACAGTAACATAATTATGCAAGAGTGGCATCATGTCTGTATTAAAAGAAGAATGATCACAGTTAGATATCATTTGCATGTTTTGTTAGGCGAGCTGTTAAAAGCAGGTTGAAATATATGTATCAACAAGTTATTACAGTTCTTGCTAATGTTTCTCAAGGTAAGTGTGCATCTAGTCATGGATGTCTTAGCAAAAGTCTGGTTGCAGCAACCACAGAATAAAATACTTCAAGCGTAACCTTACTTCAATCAAGATGCAATTCATTGCATGGTTGCAATCACACCTATGAAACCATTTGGCCTAATGATTTATTTGTATTGCTTACCAGTAAAATAATCAAAGCCATCCTGCTGGAAAACTTCAAAGACAAGTGGAAGAAGTTGCCACATTTGTGCAGAAACTTGTTGACAGGTCAGACTATGAGCCAAGGAAAAGATCTCCTCATAGAACTCTAAAACAAACAGAATCTAGGTAAATTTAATACCAACCCCACACACTTTAAAAAAATAAGCCAATAAAAGTATAAATACCTAATACATGCTGCTGCAAAACTGTTCCAATCACTTGCAAACAGATCCCTTCCAGCTGCTGGGTAATCTAAAAAAAAGGACATTTATAACTGTTTTCAATACTTTGGTGTTGAGAGGAGACACGTTTTAAAATAAAACTACTCAAAGCAGTTACTATTTATACACTACAGTCTTCTAAAAGTAATTCAAAATTCCTCACACTTTAGAGCACTGAATGTGTAAGAGCTGCACTCAGCTAAGGATTTGCAAAACATCTTTTAACACAAGGTGGTTTCAGAATACTCTTTGAATATTGGAAGAATCTCATTATAGGGTATCCTTTAAAAAGGAAAGCCTGACAATAACAACCCTATGCAACAACTCAGTCCTATTTAAACACTGTAAGTGAACATATATATTAAAGGGGTAAGCAATGGAAGTTGCAGGAATTATTTGCTGTTCTGGAAAAAGTGAAATTTCAAAAAATAGACCCAAACCCAAGTAAATACCAAACCACCTCCCAAACCTAGCTTAGGATGTTTGTATGGTGTGTGGACAATCAGTGTAAACACTGGTCTGCAGATTCAGACACTCTTCCCAATTAGTCACAAGAGCTAGCAAAACAGTCATTAACCTGCTTAGGGCACTGACCTAGCATAGGGACAAATAAGAGTTGAGTTTCTGGTCTCAGCTATGCAGAACAGGATTTCAAACTAACCAGCTAAATACCTTATCTCTTGGAACACTGGTCACCCTGTGTGAGATGTCCCTACATATAAATGTTTACTGATCAACGTTTTACAGTTGAGTTCCTCAGGACCAGCATACTGTTACACAAACTTTTTACTTAGATAGCACGAATTTGCTGACAAAAACAAGTCCATGAAAAGCTTGTTGAGCAGCTTTAGCAAGAAGTAAATGAGCCAAACTGGTCCTTGGTTTATTACATGGCAGCACTTGATTCCACCCTTGGGCATTCAGAATTCATATTATGCTGCTTCCTTAGTAAAGCCTTCAGAGCCCCAAGAGTACAATTTATTACTGAACTGTTTAGTCACTAAAGGACTATAATGTCTTTATCAAACAACAGTAGCTGACTTTGTCAAGAAGGGTTTTCATCAGCAATAGCATCTTTTGAAGAAGCTGTGCTCTGGACAGAAGTTAGTCCATACAGTACAACAAAACGAAATAAGGAAGAGCCTTCATCACACTGGATAATTCTACGGTAGATTAGGCAGGTAGGAAAAACCCTGATCACGTAGCACAGCCACAACAGTTGTATTTACAGACATTGATTCTGCTGCACAGAGCAAACAGCAGAGTCAATGTTCAAAGCTAACAAGTTTTATCTATTTTCTTTGAAGGGCAGACCTCATCAAATCAGACGGGTTTTTCCAACTGAGTTGCTGGAATTCCGGCTGTTAGAGATCAGCTGCTTCCACCTATTTGAACCTGGATTCTTATGGGAAATACTGGGGCAACACTTATGCCCTGTTACTACATGTACTGTGCTAGAGATGTGACCTACTCTGACAGCTTTGTGGCATGGTAAGTATTTCACTGTTTTCTGTTTATGATGCGTTTGGCTGAAAGGACAGTTTTTCAGATAACCATGTCAGAAACACTGTGTCCTGGTTTTGACTGGGATAGAGTTAATTTTCTGCCTAGTACCTGGTGTAGTGCTGTGTTTTGGATTTAGATTGAAAAGAATGTTGGTAACACACTGATGTTTTAGTTGTTGCTGAGCAGTGCTTACACTATGTCACAGACTTTTCAGCTTCTTGTACTGCCCTGCCAGCAAGGAGGTTGAGTGGTGGGGGGCAAGAAGAAGTTGGGAGGGAACACACCCAAACTGGCCAAAGGGATATTCCATACCATATTGCATCATGCTCAGTACATAAACTAGGTGGGGAAAGCTGGCCAGGACAGGATGGGGTTGAGGGGGAGAAGAGGGCACCCCTCAAGAACTGGCTCAGCATTAGTCAGCAAGTGGTGAATAACTGCACTGTGCATCACTTGTTTTGTATATTTTTATCATCATTATTATTTCCCCTTCCTTTTCTGGCCTCTTTATCTCAATGCACAAATTTCACTTCCTCCCCCTCATCCCACTGGGGGAGCAGGGGAGTGAAGGGACAGCTGTGTGGTGCTTAGCTGCCTGCTGGGCTAAACCATGACACACTGGAACTACAAGAGACTTTCAGTGTCTTAGACAACACATACTAGCTTTAAAGTAATTTTTACTTACTTCCTTGTGATCTTCAACTACACTGAGAAGTGTATCAATAGTATTCAAGATTCCCATTGCTGTCACTGCTTTGTCATCACTGCCCTCTTCATCTGGTCCAGTCTGGATTACCTGGTTAAATGTCATTGCCTGCATGTAATAGCAAAACACCCCGTAAGTCAGTCACTTAAGGAGGAAATACTTGGAGATGAACAGTTGTGCAAGTCTGGTATTCTACACAATTTGAGTACTTCTGCTAAGAAAACGTGTATGAATATTAGAAGGTCCATTTCAGAGTTCCTTTTCAAGACTGATAAAAGTTGAATGTTAAGTCATGTGAACTGCCATCCTTCATCCATTCCTGAGTAGAAATGTATAAGTGACAATACTCCCCATGTAAAAGAACACATTTTCTACCAGTAAGTTTTTCTGACACACGGTTTAATTGATAGCTGAACTAGATTGGACTCCTTTGCAGGCAATCCCAGAGAGGACATGCAAATAAGGTAGTTTTAACTCCAAAGCAAGTTTCAAAACAGAAAACCTAAGTCACGCTGTAGAAACTACCTAAAATGTGCTACCAGAATTACTTATTAACACTACCAGGGGAAAATGCATACACAGATTCCTCACACATTTCTACAACTGAACTAAATGGAAATTTCTGAGAACAAGTTATAAAGCCACTTCTGAGGAAAATGAGCAGCCTAAATGTACAACAACATTACTTATATCAGTGCACTTAAGCAGACTGGAGTAACAACAGCTATTAATTGATGGACAACTATCTTAATTTTAAATACCCATCTTGCACATATTAAACATCTTCCTAAGTCACTGGGAAGTCTTACCAAATGCTGTGTCATTTCCACTGCAATTGGGGTAACTTCTTCACTATATTCACAGATCATCTTCTGAATCACATTAGTAAGATCGTCATTTTCAGTCTCCCTTATAATATGCAGTAAAGCCTGCATTACAGGTCTAATGAATGGAGTAATATATTCTTTAGCTGTAAAACAAGTGGAAATATCTGAACTGACATTCTTACAAAACTACAGTATAAGAAAGTCAACATATACTTCATCAATATTTAGTGCTTTGGCATAGTAAGTCAAACCATGGGTAGTATAAATCATTACAAGCAATACTAACATTGAGAACAATTTTTTAATCCATGTATACCAAGAGGATCGCAGATCAATTATGAAAAAGAGTCCTACAGTCTCTATGGGATGCAAGATAACTTATGTACTCATTTGCATTCAATTAAAATTTGCCGTGATAAGCATTTATCAAATACTTCGGCTAATTTGTCTCTATGGGATGCAAGATAACTTATCACGGCAAATTTTAATTGAATGCAAATGAGTACATAAGCATTTATCAAATACTTCAGCTAATTTGGCAAAGAGACCTTGTCTGCTTCATGGCCTTTATGCCAGCTTCAGGAATACAAGGCAATGTAAAGCCTGACAGGATGACTACTTTTTTTAAAAATAAATGAATGTATGCCCAGACAGATATGCTTATATTGCCACTGTATTTCTGATTTAATGATCACGTTGTAAAACTGGATTTGTTCCACAAAATTGTGATACAGTTATTTATAAAAATATGTAAGATTTTTTTCAGCTGGAAAACTACAAGAAGTGATTACAAATTACAATTCCAAGCAGTAAGTTAACATCAGGAAAGAAGAGAACAAGTCTCCTTAAACACTGTAATTTTAATGCCTATTCCATTAAGACTTGCTGCAGCTTTACGAAAAAGAGGGCTACCTTTCTCTTGATTACTGATCAGAACCTGAAGTGCTATTGCAGCTTCCACTTTCACAGGCATTTCCCTATCATCTATCAGACACCGTCTTGTGAGCTCCAAGGCTGTCTGGAGATTCTGGTCACTCTTAAATTTGACTTCACAAAAATAATGAAGAACCCAGCAAGCCTGAAAAAGACAGTGAACAAGTTCAGAGTTACAAAACCTACAAGCAAGGTTACTGACTACTCATATACCTGTAACCTACACAGATTACTAAATCTGATGTGCAGTCACTGTTACGTTAAGATACTGTAAAAGGTTTTAACATATGAAGATGTTTGAGAGTATGGAGGCTGGCCAGCGGGAGGCTTGTCTTTCCGACATCACTAGACCAGTACTATGGTCTCAAGTTCATCTTTGGCCACAGGTTTTGTGTGAGCAGTACAGCCTAAATGCAAAACACAAGTAGACTGTACCACCAGACACAGATGGAAAACTATGCACACAATTCTGCAGCCATTTTAAAACTCCACAGTAGCTACCTATAATCACAAAGACTGACACTAACCTCTAAAATAAGCATCCAATTTATTACAGAGAACATGCAGAAAGGAGCGTTAGAGGGAAAAACTGACAGAATATTCCTGAATTCAATCAGTGCACCGAGTGTACCTTAACAGTAAATCTTACACTTTCTTACCCGGGCTCTCATATAACCCAGCTCGCTGCTGAAGAGAGGGAACACATGATTCTGCAACATATATTCCATCTGATCTTTATATATCTTTTTCTGTCAGAACATAAACAGAAACACAGTTTAAAACTCGATATAAAAATGCATTTCTAATCCAGTAAAAATAAGTCACATATAGAAGTGTGAACAACGTAAGAAAACCCTCAGACTTCTGACCTCCTCCTTTGTTGAAGTCCATTAGGCAACAATCCCTTATCAGTAATTAAGCTTGAATCCTGCACCAACTATTTCTCAGTCAAAATAGTGACACACTTTTTCCTGCCATTTTTTGACTCCTTGAGACACCTTATGCTTGGCAGTACACTACTCTGCTATCAAAAGCAAGAGTGATCAGGGAAACTTCTCAGAGCTATGCTCCAAATAAAAGTCCAAGCTCTCCATCTTTTTTGCTACCATTCTAACTGAGCAAGGCTGCTAATTTCACTTTATTTCCACTCTTCTGTACACAGAAAAGATCTCGTTAAATCAACAGCCTTCCACTGGATGGCTTTTTTTTTCCCTTCTTTCCACCAAAAAAGACAGTGCAGTTAAGTGTAGCGCAGGAAAAGGTATAGCAATTCTTACTAGAAGCAGAGAACTTAAAGGAACTTAGAACAATAACCTGAACTTGAACATAACGTAATAAAACTTGTATAATTATGCTGACAACAAAACCCAAACAATTACGTTCAACAGCTTTAAAAAAAAACTGGCAGTGACTCAAAAAACTTGTAAACTCAAAGAGCTATTCTCATTTCTTCTAAGACACTATATGTGAAAGAAATCAAAGGAAGGGGAGGGGGGGAAGAACCAAAAAAACACCAGCTCTGTTAAACTTACTTTTAGGAGAATTTCGGCCAAAGAACCGATCATATGTAAAGCACCATCTTTCTTACGAGGGTCAGCATTTGGCTCTGTAAGGATCTGGTAACAAAAGCCCATTGTCTTCTGCAGGACCTAGATTAAACATAAGGTTAGTCAAAGTATTTGAATCAATCGTCTCTGGTACCATACTCTGTGCTCTGAAATGCTTAAATGTTTAACAACCTGCTCCAAGCCTGGAATTTGGATAATATTTTGTCTCTGTTATAAACATATCACATTCTTGATAGATAGGTCCGAGGGTAATTGGCAAATACAAAAATCACAAATAGACCAGTGCAAAATAAACTTGAGAGAAATTATATATTTTAGTGTACTATGATGACAGACAGCAGTTTTTTTAGTAGTTCTCTCAACAAATGGAGACTATAAACTGCATCTAGCTAACTCTGTATTTAAGTAAAATCCTTGAATAGCTTACCTCTTTCCTTTTACTACATGATGTAAACAGTAACGTCTGAGCAGCAGTTGTTGGAGAAATGAAGTCTTCAAATACATCTATTCAGGAAACATAACAGCTATAAATTTTGGTCCTTTAACACAGTTCATGATCCTAATGTAATCTAACAATTTAACATGAAAGAAAACAGCAACAATTTTCCCTTTCCTCACCCCCCTGAGTCCTTGGGTGGTTAATCATGCCTTCTTACCACAGATATTCCAAGACAAAACAACAGTGACACATGGTTGGAGATTACTGGTACATATGTTTCACCTTTTCATGATCACTGGTTCTACATGTCCAATTTTAAATTCCTTAAGACAAATCTTTCATAGAAGTAGAAGCAAGCACAGTGGTCAATTATGGCACGTTATTTGCTGTACAGGCAGGCACACAACTGATCGTGTCAGAAGTGCTCAGTTTATTATTTCTCTGCAGAAGAGGATCATCAGAGCCTTGTACAATACCTGTACTGTTTACAGCTCTGCCTCTGACCTGAGGGATAAGAAAGTCCCGAACCCATCAAGATTCCTTGTTCTAGACACATAAAAGTCCTAGTGGAGGGAAGAATTTGTCGAGGAAGTCTGAATATTTCCCTTCTTCCCTAGCCTGATAGAACTCCATAGGCTTACAGTAAACCCCAACAACAAAGCAGCAAGCCACTGGGGGTGAAATTAGACAGGTCTGGAATGCTAGGCTTGGTTCATGTTCTTTCATTTACCACTGCGGTACATCTGTTCTGAACTGTGTGCCCTGTGTGAAAGTCCTTGAGACTGCAAAAACTCCATGGCCTGGAGCATCAGCTGTTCTATAGCATAAACTTTTAACATTAAACTTGTGTACTTATTGTTAGCAAGACCTGAACTGTTTGACTTACAACAAAAACTCTGTCAAAATCAGCTGGTTTTTTCCAGTGCAGAAACATCTGTGTCACTGTTGACTGTAATATGTTATCTGTCATTTCCACCAGTATATCCTAAAGTTGTGGATATGAAGTTGTATTATTTAGATAACAAACTAGTTCTCTTTTACAGAGTAAAGCCATCTCTATTTTCATAGAAGACTACAAAAATCCCATCTTTGTGTGAAGTCATATTTTAACATGACTAGATTTCAAATTCTCACCAAATTTCATGCGAATATATTCATATGGATCTTCTTGCCAAAGCTCTTCATCAGCATCTGTATAGCACATCAATGGAAAAATAACATCTTGGATAATTCCCTGCAATGAAAAAAAAAAGTTCAAACCAGGCTAGCACTACTAAATCATTGGACATAGTGTTTTTTATGTGCTACCTTACAAGAAATAAGACATCTCTTAAGGCAGAACTACAACACAGCAGAAGCCATTACATTTGCTTTGGATAATGGCATGTGGAGTGCCATAAATTCAGTAGTTAACACCACCTCCACTTCTGTTGTTTTGCTGTGCTACACTGCAATCCTTAATATATTAAAGCACAAAGGACTGACAGCAAAAAAACCCTCAGTTAGCTAGCTTGGCTCATGGATCAAGGTAACCTTCAAACAGGCTTAAACTCTTTCCACCTGCAATTTCTAACAGTGGTCCCTAAAACTTGAGTTCCATCAAGGCTAGAAACATCGTACAACAGACTAATGTACTACTGAGTCATCTAAGTATCAGACCCCCAAAATGGTTTACTTGTATATGAGGTTTCAGGTTCTTCCAGGTGACTGCATGTGACACTCCTTGATTGATGTAATTCAGAGTTTGCTGCAGAACTCTAGGAGCCATGTACTGCTTCTCCTTGTATTGATACAACACCTTCAGCAACACCTGCAAAAATCACATCTCATCAATAGGTTACACTGAGCATGGACCATTTTAACCAGAAAAATTCCACCCTCCCTCACAATCCTACATAAAAGCTTCTTTTAAATTAAAAAACCAACCCTCTGTTTGTTCATTAGACTAAAATGGATGCTGACTAATCCTTCTACTGAATGTCACTGTTAATTTTATAAGGCAATTTGCAGCTTATGTCAGGTGCTGTACATCTTTAAAAAAAACCCAATCCTTTATTAAGACAAAACATATATGCCAATTCATTACCAACATAGCCATGGGAACCTTCCCCTGTGATGTTCATTATTCCATTTTGCCACTCTTTGGGGGCATAAATTCATGCCAAAACACTGGATTGGTAACATACTCTACACTCAGTCTACCAATTCTTGCATATGTGCAGCCTTACAGCAATGACACTGTATGAGGGATGTATGTGCATGAAGAATGATGAACCAGCCTCTTCCCTTGGCTTTCTGGACTCAATTCTTCTGAGATGGCATTCAGAATGATTCACAAGGATTTACATTTGTTGAAGTCATGGCTCTCCTCAAAGAAGAACACGAAACGGACACGGGACTGTTATGAGTAATTAAATTCCAGCTCAATGGAAGGTTTCACGCTGGCAATGCAAGGGGGGTTCCCTGTAGCCCAACCCAGGTCAGTGGCAACACTGCACCTTCAGGAGAGCAGCACCCACTGGAGAGAAGTAACAAAACCCATTTCCAGGGTTTCATTTAATTCTTCACATAAAACAGGACATGGGATGGAGGCTCCAGGGCAAATAAAGAAAATTCTGCAACTGTGCCAAGGAACAGCCAGGCAGGAGCGTTCAACCAGGGCTTCGTTCTGGCTCATCATGTCTTTCAAACTGAGAAACGTCTTGAGCAAAACAGCTGCCTAACACAAGGAGTAAGAACCAAGGTATTCCAGCTAGACAGACAGCTCAGCCTTCTTTGGCCAAGCTTAAGAAAACCTAGCTAGAATTAGTGCTGCATGTATTGGAATTTTTTTTTTTTTTTTTGGTGTGGAGGCAGAGGAAAATGGTGCTGGTGACATGAGCATGACAGAAAGATAGAGAGAACAATAATCAGTGAGAAGTAATGATAGAATAGCAGCAGCAATACATTTCAAGCACCTGTAATCTCACAACATGTATTTGTCTACTACTGCTCTAGTAAAAGTGTGTGTACACTCTGGAGAGTAAAGAGAACTCAGTGAAGCGCGTTATCAGAATTTGTATTCTTCGATATTTCACAGCTTTCCAATTTCTGTAAAGAAATACATCCTGTCCAAAAACCTTCCCTAACATTGATCTGAGGGATTCAATTTCTTGAGCATATATCCAAGATTTGTATTCTGCACAGAAACACAAGACAGCACCTTAAAATAATCTGTATTTCTAAACAAGTCATATTATTGTATAGGAAGAAACAAAGTATTTTAAAGTCTTGCTTTTTAGCAATTTTCTTTAAAGACTTGAATCCTTGGTGTTTCCTGGATGCAGTTACAGAAAGAATCAAATTTAATTAAAAAGGTTTTCTGTTGAACTGTTTAAATTTATCTTTTCAAAAGACTTCTGCCCATAGTCTTTTGTCAGAGCTTCAAATTGCAAAGCAACCAGTATGGTAACTATTATCTGTCTGATGTCACATACAGGTGACAAACGAGCACCTCAAATGGTGACACTGACTCTACTTTTCAGAGCAGAACGTTGGGATGTATTTCCTGACATTCAATGTGACAAATGTTCTTTTCCCTTCCAATACTTCGGGTGGCCTTCCAAAAAAATGTATTTAGGAAATAGCTTCCCTAGTTTTCCTCTTTTAAAGTCCTGTAATTCATTATAATTTAATTAGGAATGAAAAGGAAGAAAACTGAAACTGAATGAAGAACTGTCCTTCCCCTGATTAAAATAAAGGCTTCGAAGAAAATATTCTGCTTCAAGATTTTAATAAATTGTCAACCTAATTGATTTACAACCTAACCACCTTAATATAAACAGACTTATGAGCCAGTACAAGGTATTTTTACAAAAAGTACTAGAATTTTTTTTATAAACCAACTTGTTTCAAAAGAACGTAAGACAGCAGTACAGCCAGGAGCTGAGAATCTGATCCAAAAGTTTCCCAATATTGATGGGAATTTTCTTGCTAGTTCAGTGAGTTCAAATCACTGACTTTAAACACATGCACTAGAAGAGAGGCAGATGACAATTCCTGCCCCATCAATCCATTCTGTCCCCTGAGAAAAACCTGTAGGTTGCTGCTATATAGTAGGACTACCTAAATCGCGAAGTTCCCCCAGCCAAGGATAGTTTGGCATAGCATTAGCACATCAGATTAGAAACTCCTGTAGTCCAGAAGATGCTTTGTGTATAACAGACCATATAGAAGTGGCAACCCCCAGCCAGAGAGATGAGTAGAAAGTGACCATCAGACTTACCTGCTGGTAAATGAGCCTCTGCTTATCAGAGGCTTTTGCAGAAGGCTAGAAAGCTTAGTATTTACCGACCTGGAGTCAAAGAACTAACACATCAGAGGTAAAAGGGTAGGTAAGAAGGTCAACTACACCACATAAATATTCTATCTATCTCTTCCAGAAAGAGGACAAACTGATAGTGTTTATCTGACGCTCATTTGAGGGCTCATTATATGAGAGGATTTACAGATTATCAGTGCTGCATAGGCTATTTTCAGTGGATTGTCCTACGTGGCAAATTCATTTTTTTTAATCATTCTTTTCTTCTAACCCACAGCCTTTAGTGCTTTCCATATCAATGTGCTTAAAAAAAAAACCAATTGTGTAGAAGAGCAAGAAGCCTATTCAGAAAATAAAGAAATAAAAAACCACTACTAACTAAACTTATCCTAGTACCCCCCAACACTCACTCCTTCTTTTTCTGCTGAACACCAACAGCAAATGCCTTCAGGAACACTTCAGCAAACTCATTGTACTCCTTGGAAACATTACCAGGGCTTCCATACCTAGAATTAGAACCAAATATGCAAATTCAAGGGTGCAGCAGTATTACTGACTTGAGTATTTGTTTGGGGTTTTTTAAATAATGGAAAATACCTCTCAAAAAGTCTAGCTAAGATATGCAACGCCCACTTCTTGCATTTCCACCAAGGCAACTCAGGTCTATCATCTTCATCAACTTGAAGGGTTTCCTTTAGAAAAAGGAAAAAAAAGTATTATTTACTAACTACTCACAGAGAGTTCAAGTTACATGTATTTTCAACAGCTACATAGTGTATTTTGCTTTTAACCTGCCACTTGCACTTCCAGCTTAATAGAATTACAAAGCACAGCACATCTAAAAATTATATATGCTGCATAGTCGAATTCTTGAAACAAGAAGCCAAATTAAGCTATAATTTGAAAACAGAACTCCCATCCAAGCAACATACTTTCCAAATTTGTCCAGTCTGCCTAAAATAAGCTATTTAGCTTAAAAATTTATTTTCCTGCAATCTGAGGAAAAAAGAATGCAGAAATAAAAAGTTAAACTTTATAACGTTCTAATGAACGAAAGATACTTAAGCTTAAAGACATAAATAGCCAAAAGCCACTTACAGCTGGTACATCCCTATCGACAACAGTCTTCAGGATTTCTATCCACTCATTCAGGTTTTGCTGATTTATCAACTCCAAAGGTAACGTGTACTTATTAAAAAAAGGCAAAAGAAATTAATTATAAAGCAATTTGAAAATAATGTCACTTTCACAGTTTGAATTTTAGCTCTTCCAATTATTTGTTTACACTTAGTTGTCATGAAAGATTAGCAAATGACTAGGAAAACCAGGCTAAGGAACTTAGCAGAACCTACTCTACATCCTCAAAGGTGCTAGAGGTCTTTACTTGAATTCATTCTGCCTATGCAATGCGAAGACACTCCTTAAATGGATGTTACACTAATTTCCGAAGCCATTATCAGCATAATAACAGTTTCATTCCATCTGCTGCTTTTACACTGGTAATACTATTAGGCTTGCCTCTACAGTGTCATGAGAAAACTAATTTTCTAATCTGTTGTCTAGCGAACACTACCCTAGAGGATGGCACGCCTAAGGTCTACCTAATGCCAACCAGGGGTAGTCCTGTACAAAAGTAAAAGTACAGCACAATCAAGCAAACCAAAACCCTGTGATTCATACCATAGCTAAGCAGTAGGGGAAATGATTCAGATGTAATCTAATTTTATTAATATTTCTGTCATTTATTATTTCAATGAAAAGCATAAAGCTTTAAATTAAATTATTGATCAAATATATACAAAGTTTATTTTTTACCTGGACAAGGGCATAAAATATTTTGAAGATCTGTTTCTGGATGAGGACAGACTGATCAGATGGATCACTCAAGAGCTGAATGAAACTGTCCTTCAAAACTGGTAGAAAATGTTGCATTGCAGCTATCAAAGGACTCCGCTCCTCCGGTTTCTTGTACCTTTAGATAAGAATAAACTAGTTTTGTAGATCTTTCAAGTAGCTTTTGAATTTTAAAAGTCCACCTTTCCCCAGCGTAGACACAAGTAGGTTATATAACAATATGATTTAAAAAACCCTAGCCATTTCTTGTTACAGACTTTGAAATACAGCCACAGCCAGACAACGTAGGAGTTAAAAGGCAAGTTAGAAAACCACTGAGCATCCATTGCTCCACTATATATCCACATCAGTTTTCTGCTGGGAACGCACTCTGCCAACTTCATCACTGTGAATACTACATCACATTCAGCCACACCATTACTACGGTGAAAGGCAATCAGAGCACTATGAAAACTGGAAGAAAATGGTACACATTTATTGCCAAGAATGGCAGATGCTGGGCTAGTCAGTACAATTCCAGAAAGACATTTATCTGAGTATTTCCAGAAGCTAGACTGCTTCACTGACACTGAGGAAAGTAATTGTGAAGTCTCTCAGTTTACCACCAATGTCTCTCACATCTTACCACTTAATTTGCCCAAATCTAAGAATTTCATACAGACCGTAGGCTTCAAGACCATGGTGGACTCTGAGCAGACTTCGATTGCAACCCCTGGTGCAGTCCACCAGTTTGCCTACACTGAAAGCAAGGCTCCATGTCCTTTCTCAAAACATTTCCAAATCCTTGAAAGTAAACGAAGCTGCATTTTAAGTCTCCCCCTCAACTTCAACTTACAAAGAAATTCCTCATTGACTCCAGAGTTACCACAACAGAACAGCATCTTGTCCACATGGGTGATGGCAATAAGAACAAAGTAAGATAGCACTTTAAGACTGCCAAACTTAATTTTGGCTAAGTCATCGATACTGTAATACTCTTGGAACCTTATGGGAGATTTCTGGCTTGGGGGATTGGCGGTTTGTTTTGTGGTTTGTTGTATTTTTGTTGGTTTTCTTTTTCTTTTAACACATTTTTGGTAGACTTTTCACTAATACTACACTATCAATGCTCAGCTTCTTAAACAGTGCCAATTTGCAGAAATAAGATAAAAAGTCTACTCAATCTGCTGCCAGATGGCACGTTCTGTAAAAACTACTACAGTACACTGAGCTCCAAAATCCCATCATTAATACAGTTGCCATGTATTTTCTAACATAAAAATTTAAATATTGCTCAGGAAAACTCAGTTCGATTTCCTCAAAAGACACAACTGAGAAAGACCAGAAAAAATGACTACGCAGAGAGCAACCATTTGATCTTGCTGGCTGGATTTAGAGGGAAAAAACTCAATATTGAAAAGCCTCAAGGTTTACCTTCCACATTAAGAAAAAAAATTCAATAGCTAATAGTCCTACAACTTCAGCAGTAAAGACTTGATCAAAGTCAGAACATTATGTAGATTTTTCCCCAAAAAACCCTGACATAGTTTAACAACTTTGTCAGGGACCTGCTTGCACCCATACTGTTGCACAATGAACCATGCATATTCCTACATGATTTGTGAAAGCAACCCTTGTTGACCAGAAAGCTAAACAATATGGGCAGTTGCTGGCCTCAGCTGAAGTGTCTGATCAACTCAAGATTAGGAACATGCCCGTTACCTTCGTTAATCACACAATGACTGTGCTCATATCAAAATTCTTCCCTAAACACGAACTGCTATAACCAGAATACACTACCAGTGATCACTTCATGGTTTATACCTCACAGATCTCTGCTGTATATTTGGTTCAAGATGTCAAAATTGAAAGCCAACTGAGAAATTAGGGTTTTTTCCCTTCCTAGCAGAACTTGCAATTTTCAGCTATTGAAAAAAAACCTCCAACATGGGATTACAAAGGTCTTTCTAGCATTCCTGTAAAAAAGGATTTTTGAGAAACTGATATTCACCTGTTTTACATTAATTTATGTAGAATTCAGGAATTAGACAGTGAAATTTTTCAATGCAGCTTTTTAAGTCAAGTACCTGAAACAAAAATGTTATGCGTGACAGAGCTTTGAAAGAGTAAACTGTGGATCACTTCAGTTCCACTACTACAATTCCCTGACTCCAGGATTGCACTTTTCTCTGACGCAGCTCAAATGAGCTTCCTACATGCCAGTGGCAGCAGCTAGGCTCCACATAAATTTCTGCAAGTGCAACCTCAACTTTAAAGCTCTGAGTGTAATACCAGACAGAGGGCAATGTTCACCTGCATCCCAGCCCAATGCCCTGCATACAGGAGAAGCGTGGACTTTATCAAAGACATCCTGTGGTGGGCTGGATGGAGCTATCAAAACCATCACACCAAAAGTCAGTCAACAAATTCTGAACCTCCTAGCATTCAAGATGTCATACTTTTGAAATCTTTCTAGGTATACTGTCACGGATATCTAGAGTACAAATTGTTTAAGATTTTAAACCCGTTTTAAACAAATAAACATCCGATGCAAACATCATGACTTGGAGCAGACTTTCTTACTTCTATCAATCCATAAAACCCCCTACCCAATTAAGGCATTTTTTCTGATCTCACACCTGTAATGAAGGCAGTTTTTCTGTAATTTCTTAGTGAAGACAACATATGAGCCAGCACCTGCACAGCAAGTATTCAAGAATATTTTCTAAAATTAGATTTCTCTCATCTTTGTGCAATCCCACCTGCAATTCTACATGGTTACTATACACATACAGAACAGAAAAATACAAATGCATTAATTCTACTGTTTTATATGGTAGAAAAAAACCCCCACACTTACTCATAGTTTTTCACAAGTTGGTAAAGACAAAGAAGAATTCCAAGCCAACAAGCACTGTTGTCAGACTGAAGGTAAAATCCTATTTTCTCCACAACTGCAGTCCAGCGACTAGGATAATCATGCTTGATAATGTGGTGAATGCAAGTAGTAAGTTGTACTCTACAAATCAAATGCACAGTGATTAAACAAGTTACTACTATTATTTTAATAATGTTCTTGTGGTGTTTAAGCAGCTAATATTGCCCAAACTTAAGACTTATTTCACATTTGGTTTAGAAAGTTTAGGTTCTGGATTTTCTGCTTAATATTCTCCATTTCATGGACTTGCAATTTCTATATGTTGCACAAGCTAAAAACTGTTTTCCCATCTACAGTAATTCTCTGCTTAGGATACATAGTGTATGACAATGATGCTTAGCACACAGGCCATCTTGCTTGTGCAAAAGAAACCCAACAGGCAGAAACCACACCCAATTCATAAACAGGTTAAAACTGCATACCTAATCAGCTCAGGAGAGTGAATAATGGCTTCTACGATATTTTCACGAATACAGTGTCTGTCTTCTTCTGGGATGGAGTAAGGTGGAATCTCTCCTGGTACAGTTTCACGATCTGGCCAATACTGAGTTATCATATTTTTCAAGTAGATAACCCCTGTGTGACAAAAGCAGCAAATCAGCTGACAGCCATTCAAAGTAGAAAACAAACATGCATTTTGCAAACAAATCTATTTTAGAACCAAACTGATTGAAATGAACAATTCACTGACCATTTCTGAGTAGGAGAATCAAAATATACAAATCATGCAAATTCTTAACCTAATAATTTAGTAGGTTGATACCCTCTTACCCGACTATTGTGATGTCTGTATTTTTAGTTCTGTAAAGAACATGTTTTCAGGTGAAAGCTCTAAGCATATTGCTTTTATCTGTGCTACAAACAGCTGTGGAACATTTTATCAACACACTTCTGAAAAATACTTGATATTTATTTATAATTATTTTCTCAGAATTTTAATTAAAAGAAAGTTAATCAATAGAAATTACTATCTAAAACATCCCTTGTAAGCAAAAAAGTCTACTTAAGTTTGTGATAAGGAAGTGAATGTTAAGAGAAACAGAGCTCCCTACCAAGGTTATGGGCCACAGCACTTCAGCAATCAGGCTGCTGGCACCAATGCCTGCAGTTACCATTTGACAACCAAATCCAAATTGCTTATGTGGCAGAACACAGATTACAGCACTTGGAAAGAAGAGGACTAACAAAATGTAACAGGAAATCCCAAATTACAAACTAATAACAAAGTTACTATTAATCTCATTCTATGCAAAAATCCATAAAGCAATTTCTCTTCCCAAATTTCCTACGCACCTTCTGAAGACTCAGAAACCAAAGGGTTTCTGAAAGGATCTGCAAAGTTAAGAAATACCCAGCAGATACATACTATTACAAGACTGAAGTGATGCAGATTTCAATCTGTCCTCAGTGGGATTTATCACACCATTAATTGCTTTGCAAAACACGCCCTGTAAGCTACGAGTTGTCTCCACTCTCTACAGACTGCTTTGGTTTTTAATTGGCTTACACTAAGGGTGAATTTTCAGAGGCCGTTTTCAAACCTCCCCCCTTTTTTGCACGTTATACATGTTAAGCGGGAACTTCGGAGTCAGGATCTGAACAGTACCCCCAAGCAACAAGACAAAAATACAAGTTAGGCTTATGCTACAACTTAGAACATCTACAACATGGAAGATCTGAATAAGTGATTAGGATCACACTTCCTGACTGTCAGAAAACACACAAGTATCAGATTAGAAACCTCTATCAAGCAATCATAGCAGCTTTGAGGTGATATTTGGAGTTGCTAATATTCAGTATACAGTTTTACTGATGGCTCATGTGCAGATCAGCAGAGTTCTACAAGACATTATTTGTTTTCTTCCACTTAGGTTTAGAAACATTAGCATTACTAGTACATGGTTAAACTACCTCCTTGGACCAAGTGTATTAGCATCATAAACCATTCTGTTTCCCCAAAGACCATTATTCGCTAGAGATAAAGGGGAGCAATCACTGAAGAGCACCTTTTCTTTCCGTTTTCCCTATTCCGTGTATGGTGCCAGATACAATTCATGACCATAATTCGAGCAACTCCCAACTTCTCAGTATTTGAGATCAAAACCATTAGAATTCTTTAACAGTATCTGCATATGCACTTGTGTGTTTGCACCACTGAAGTAGACACAATGAAAAAAGATGTGAAAACTTGCCTGCCTGTCTCACTGGTAAATCCAGTTGCTCAGACATTGTGATCTGAAGCAGAGTTGAAACAAAGTTCACTGATTTATGAGCCTGTAGTGAGGGTGGGAGAAGAAAAAAAAATTAGTCATAGTTTAAGGTTTAGAACACTCCTGTTAGGTTTTACAGTATCTTTATAATGAGCAATCCAACCAATAGAATACCAGCAATTCAGGCAGTTTCACAGCAGTCAGCTAATCAAGCAAAGATTCCAAAGTTTCACACACCGTATTCTGAAGGCAGCATAGGGGAGGGAAAGCCCTATCGTTTCAGGTAATAAGAGTTAGAAACCCTTCATGCATTACTGCAGCGACTGTCCACATACCTATACAACAGCAAACCAACAGTACGGAGACCTAAATGGAGTGGCATCTGTAGAGTAATAACTTTGCAAGAATTTGCAAGAGCTCACAGAAAACAAAACATGTTTATTTCTTACATTAACAAGAAGTCATTAGTACACTAAATGTGCTATTGTTTTCAATGCAATGAAACCAACCTTAACATTATTACAGCATCCTTTACCCAGCTTTCCTAAGCATCAAAGACTCGAGACATTAAATGAATTTTCCTGGGAAAAGTGAACTGTAATCTTTAAAAAACAACTCTACTTTTCAGAACAGGTCAACAACAATTTTCCTCAAGGTCAAGAGTCCATGGCCATAAGCTGCAATGAAGGAAATTCATATTTTACAAAAAGGAAAAAAAGTCACAAGCGCATCCAAAGTTCATAAGTCTGTCACAGAGGCTGTGAGACCTCGTCCTTTGAGACATCCAGAACTCAACTGGACAAGTCCTGACCTACCTCACCTAACTTCAAAACAGCTTTGCTTCAGTGGGCTGGACCAGATGATCCACAGAGGTCCCTTCTAACCTAATTACTCCATATCCAAATTGCCAAGATACATTTCTGTATCTTCACCGTGTCAATATTGTTTCGTATGCTCTTTACCGCACTTCTATCAGAGACACATTGCGCAGATCTACACCACCACCAGTTAAACCCTTAGGAAAACACCTCTTACTTGTTAAGCAGCTTACTGCTCCCTAGACAAAGCAAACAAATTAATACTTTGAAAATCATTGAAATGACACTAATCATTTATCAAAACCAAACAACTGAGTTACTTCAGCTGAGCAAATAAATATCAAAGAAAAATAATCAGAAGCTATCTTTCTATTCTTTTAGTAGGAGCAAAAGCTCTTTCGACAGCATGAAATGATGTCAACATTCCTTCTGTGTGCGTAACGCTGCCCAGCTCACTCCTACAGCACCAGGTTCTTCTCTCCCAGCAAGTATCTCCTATACATTCTAGTATAAATAAGTTTAAAAGGGACAGCCTGGGACATCACATTTGTTCACGTGTAATATTTGATTAGTACAGCTTGTTTTCTACCTCCTGTAATTTAAAACTGATTTTAAATTAAGAACAAACTTAAGAATCCCCCCAAAACGTTAAAACATTGTTGTACATATTCATCCTGTTCACTGAAAATCTACAGAAAACGTGCAGACAGAACACTTGCATCTGGTCCAACTGAAAGGTTTATTTGTACAGTGTTTTTTGAAGAACTGGGACTAACTGATCCTGCAACACAAACACGCATCTTTCTGACCCACGTCCTTCTCATATCCCCAAAGTCCTGCAGAAACAAATACACTTTCAAATGAAAAAAATATTTGTTTTCAACTGTCAAGTAATGGCTGAATAAATACATTTAAACAAAATTTACTCAGTACTATTATTTTCTACTACAGATCCACGTCTGTTAAGCTCCTTCTTAAGTAATATTAACAGGCACACTTCTCCAGGACATACCATGACATTTGACACTCATTCAGCACAGTATTCAATTATATGCCTAACATTAATGTCAGCTGAAGTACTCCTGTACTTAAATGTGCTACCATGAACATGCTCAAGAAAGCTTTCAGTTTCAATAACCTTTAACTCACCTAGGAATAAGGCCATATTACAGTCTGCATAGAAGGGACTTACAAATGCAAACTGATGTATTTCCATCAATGAATATGATAAACTTAGCTACCTTTTCAACAGTGAAAATTTGCAATGTATTTCATGTTTGGAAACAGAAAAGCATTTAATCCTAGGTTTTCACATGTGAAGGATTACTTCACCTTTTTCATGATAAATAGCAACTATCCTTTTAATAAAAACTATCAAGAAACTAATGGGAATAACAAAACAAAACGAATACAAAAATAGTGTGTCTTAAAAGCAAAAAGCAACAAAAACTAGACAAAGTACAAAACTGTCACTTACTGAAAGTTAATAAAATACCAAAGAATAATCTTTTCTTCATTTAAAAACCTCCAGAACCTGTGCCAGTAGCATACAGAAACTCTAGAAATGTCAGTTATATTACTATGTGGGATTAATACATTTTCACAGGATTCTTTGTACTATAACAAGTTTCAAAGGATAGGACCACCTATATCATTATATTGAGTTTTTTTAATCTTACAAGAATCATCCTTATTAACATCTCAATCATCAGTCACCAAGCAACCATAAGGACAAGCTACTTCGTCACCTTTAGTGGTTCAAAGCAGAGATTCAGACTAGAAATAATTTGTGATTTTCATACATGGTAACGTAAGTAAAATACCTTGTACTTGCCAAACAAAGCCTCCTTTTAATCCATTCAGTTCACACTGAGCTACATTAACACTTCCACACATTCTATATGGAATATAAAAGACTTCCAAACTCTTTACAATGACTCCCTTGCCCTGCCACTGGAAGGAAGGGGATTCCAGAGGAACTGAAACGTGAGAGGACTAAGGACAGCTACATGAAGATGTGTGTACTGCATAGTTAAATAAAACCCCAGGTACTATAATAACCTGTCACTTGCTCCCTTGTTTTGCTTTACTAGTAAGAACATCATTAAATATTTTATTGGCACCTGGAAAAAAACAACTGAACTTAAAGTAAGACATCACATAGATTCTGATTTTATATCTAAAGCATTAAAAAAATACTGAAACGCATCCATTTCAGCTATTTTAATATTTTGTATTTTTACTCTCCATAGATGGCTGCCTCTCAGGACATCAAGTTCCTCTTCACGGACAGCACTGGTAAAAAAAACCCCAACCAAACTAAAACCACCTATTTTAGGTACATATTCCATACAAACACTAGCTTTTGGTTTAAGTGCATGCAATTAGCCAGAATACTTGGCTATAAAAAAGACGAGCTGCAAAGGAAGATTCATTAAAGGTCTATCAAGGAAGTATCTGAATGCGGAGCATTCTGCTGGCCCATACATGCTCAATCTCCAGAAGAATCAGGTGCACTGAGGCCACTTCAGTGGAAGCCGCTGGCAAGTAGTGTCATTCTACACAGAAGTCCCATGGCTCCAGCATGCAAGAATTAAAACCAGGATTTCACAACAATTGCTATCACAGACTCTAAACTACATGGAGAACAGAAACATTTTCTACGACTTTTAAATTTTGACATCCATAAAACTGTATTTTATTTGCTTGCCCCCTGTTTACAAATACCCTTTTAAAATAAATATTAGAGAACTACAATGACAACTGAAAAAAAAAAATACTGTGACAGTCTGTCTCCCAACATATAACTCAACATTTAAAAATCACAAACCCATAAGTGATCTCAAGTCCTTCCCCCTTACAAATCCTGCAACATGCCGTGTCACTGGTATGACTTCGTTGTCTAAGAGCCAAAGAATTCAGGGACTTTTCCCAAGAGCAATCTTTGCTATGCAGCTTCACTGGCTGAGGAATGTATTCTATCAGACCACAAACGTTGCACCACTGTCTGTTAATATCAGTGTTCCAGAACAGAGAATCTTTTTGCATATTTCATGGCAGTTTTTCCTAGTAAAGCTGGTTTGTTAGCCATGTGCTAAAACACACTTTTGAGAAGTGTCATGTCAGCTTCATAATCTGAAACACAAATGGAGTTTGAAGTTAACAAAAAGGGACCAGTTCACAGTATAAGAACTATCAGTAGTTAATTTTGATATGGAAAAGCACTTTTTCCCCAGTAATGATACTCACTAAAGTCAGTCACATTCATCATTAACACTAGAATTATTCATAGCTCACATAAAGCCTGCATGCCAAAAGATTGATAAAAACAAGAATCTCAATCTCAGGTAAAGAGACCTCCACACGTCCTCAGACAACATGGAACATACCATAACAGAAACACTACTACAGGCACCTCCTTGACCATTACCAAAAATGCAAAACAGAAGGTTAATATTATATGTTGCTGAACTAGAACCCCAGGTTATTTATATAGTGATTCAAATTAGCACACATTTAAATAAAGGCTACAATTTATTTGTCAAGAAGCTGAAAAAACAGGAATTGAGCACATCTCCCACATTCCAATTTTGAAAAAAATCCACATGCAACTTTTGATCTAGACAGTAACAGGACTAAGCGAATACAACTACAACACTGAGATGAAAGAGTTTGGGTTTTTAACAGAAAGGTAAGGTCAGGAACTGCAAGGCCATGCTGAATCAGCAAACTGCCCCGTAGCACTCTTTTTTTTTTTTTAAAGAACTCAGCAGGTGTGGAAGTCATTCTGACCTCTTGTAAACATCCTTGGTGATCATTTCATCAGAATACTGTCTGCAAGTTCTGAAACCTATTTGCTGTTCTGTTCACAGAGGAAAAAGAATGTGCTCTTAGCAAAGGCTAAATAAGCACACACGCTAACTACGTGCTAAGTCATGACAAATGGCAAGTCCCACTGTCTGCGAGGATTTCACCTTGTCCCGGTTAACATGCATCAGGAATGGAATTTCTTCCTGATGACCACAAAGCTCCCTTGGTTCCCTGCTGCCCCCAAGGGGATTTCTGGTGTTGGACCAGCCTTGATACACAGAGTTTAAAACCATCCTTTCGGAAAGCGTCTCTCACCTAGCACACTCCAAAATACATAGATGGAAGATAATGGAATGAAATAATCCAGTACTTTTGGTAAAATGTCATACTAACAACTTTGATAGAGAAGCCATGGCCTAATAATTGGAGCCAGTAAACTCTGATAGACTCCAGTAAACTCTGTTCTTGTTCTCACCCACACTACAATATACAGCTGTGTTATAAATGAAGACCATATTAGAAAAGGTTAAAATATTGAAGATGGGGTTAACACTATAAATACCTACCCAAAGGCATCCAAAACATAGCATTTCAGCATTCGGAAATTCCTGGGTGAAAGGCACCACATATTAAGCAGCTTGCTTTCTCCCCACTGACAACCTCTCTCTTCAAGGCTCCCAGTAGTTGAGTCCAATAATTTAATTTAATCATTCCATTGTTCTGACATTTGTATCTATTAAGCAGACAATGAAAGACACTGAACTAGGCCCTACTGTACTGTTAAACCCATTGCATGCTATACCAACTAGTCAACAAGCTAAAGCATTTTTCCTTCCCCCGTCACTTGGATTAGAACACGAAAAAGCTTAAGCACAGCTTCTGAAAGGCACCTTTTTTGGTAGAGCAACAGGATAACATTTTCCTAAACAAACTCTCGTTAAGGTTTGACTTAAAATTCTGAGTTACTGCGGACTGCTCACTTATTTTGTCTTAATAGCTCGTATGTACTGGGTATAATCTCAGATACTTAAGAGACATGCCTTAACAGTTAACAATTCCCTGGAATTACAAAGAAGAAACCTGCATGGAAAGTATCATCTAGCAACTGCGCCTTTATAAATATGTTGATATTAAAACCAAAACTACACACTATTATTTTCAGGGTGTTACTCCATAGATATTTTTTAACTATGCAGCTATCTTCATCACCATTTCTGGGAAACACTTAATACACACAGTACAAAGACTGTTTTAAAAGACAAAATGCTGTCTTGCTGCTTTCCAGTAGCTCACTTGAACAATCTGGCTTTAAGTCCTTGTAGAACACAGCTTTCCCCCGTAAGGCAGCAGGGACGGCGATGGGCAAACACCTCAGGGCACACCATCAGCTGGAAATTTCATGAGAAGCTGTGGGACACGAGAGCTAGTGGTATCACTGCCTGCAACTTATTTTCACAGTGAGGAAAGAAAAGCCAAAGAGACTGAAATAACTGTGCTGCTTTTTTTTGGGCATATCTCAACTCAAAAAGTTTTCACAGCTTTTTATGTGCAGGCAATATAGCCTAATAAAATTTAGTGAAAGAAGAAATAAGGCATAGAACCATTCATGACTTAGCCAAGGTCAAAGGAAAAATAACACAGCCTGACAGTAACAAACCAAGAATCATACACCCCAATTCCTTTCTCCAGTCACTTTGTTGATTATGATGAAGACAGATCTAGACACTTAACTCCTCCATTAATTAGGAATATCAATTACTGACTGAAGCCTGTTCTTTTCTGGTAAGGTAAAATGACCATTCTATTGAAAACCAGTCTCATCAGCTCATCAGAGGCACTTGAGACAAATTAAAGCTAAACTAAAAGGTCAACTAAGGACAACTATTAAACTATAAACACTTGTGTGTGCCTGGCCACATGCAAGAACTGTATTTGCTGCTGTATGATTTCATCCTTAGAGAGGAAGAGACTCCCATACCTGACATAAAATATTAACTGATTTTTTTTGGAATGCCGTAACAAATTGAGACCTGTATCCTGCAAGAAAATGTGTAACTGACCTCAATAAACCTATGTAAAACCAAGACCATGCACGTGACTAAAACTACATACATGTACAAGTGACAAGTGCTTGCAGATATGGGTTTAACAGATACTTTTATCACAGAAGGTCTGTCAAGGATCACGAGACATTTTCGATAATAAGTCTTAAATGCTCGTTCAATAATGTCTGGTGTTTTTGGAGGGACAGAGATATTTGGATCTTATATCAAATTAATACTTATATAGTACATGATAGACGATGATGTTTTCACTCAAAAGTGTGAACAAAGCCAGCTGCCAGTGAGCATGACCCTTCATGCAAGAGAGTTAGCCACTTGCTGAAGACCCCAACTGGCAGAGAACTCAATTTCCTGCAGTCAGCAACGCAATACTTGTAGAAAACAGCTGAAATAGATTTCAAGCAAGTTACTATATGTAGATATGGACATGCTCAGAACACAGAAAATTAAACTTTGTCACCAGCTTAAGATTTCATACATATTACTGTCTACATATGCAATTGTATTATTTTCACTTTTAGTTGAAGAAACACTAAAATCCTTTTTACCCAAGTACATGGAAAAGATAGCAAATTACTTTTGTATAAAGTCAATTAAATATTGAGAAGTTTTACAGCTATCTGTTTCAAATGTACCTAATATTTATTTGCCAATCACTTATTAAATGACATGCAAGTGTTCATCTAATTACACTTTTTTATAACATGAGAAGCCATACCTTTAGTTTTTGAAAGTTTCTCTACCACCAGCAGAACATGTGGCTCACCTTTATCTAGGCTCTGCTGAACATCTGTTGCATTAAGTGTATTTTGTCAGGCCTAAAGTCTGCTTAAGAGCAACAAAGAAAAACATTTGTGGAAAAGGCCAAGTAAAGGCACCACAAGAAGGAGGTGGCGGCTTACCCTTCATCTCCTCCAGCAAGCTATCATCTTCTCTCGGAGTCAAACACTAGAATACTTTTTTTTTTTCCCCTAAATTCAAAATACCTAAAAGTTCAATGGCTGTGTTTCATCAGTAATAAGTCTTCACCTACCAGGTGAAGTTAAGTGGAACAAAAACATAACCTTTATCCAAAAGCGAAACCTGCGGAACTAGGACCTGCTGGTTTTGTTATATCCCAATATGACACACGAACATAGTCTAAGCAGATGACATATCTGGGTTGGGAACCCTGTCTTCCCCCGTTTTTTGGGCACATGCCGGTACTACACCCAGAAAGTGCACCTACCTCCACAACGCTGCCGAACCCGGAGTCCAAAGAACTTGTACAAACACACCAAGTAACGCCAGGCTATCAGATTTATTTCTGAACTCAGCCCAGGCCACGCTTACGCTAATAGGCAGCACTACTTATAAAGCGCTGAGGGTCTTGTACCTCCTTTCCCGTTGGCAAAAAGTACTGTCTTCCACATCCAAAGCCTGCCCTTAGACAGTCTAGGTAGAGGGCTGGGTCCAGTCTGAGCCACATGGGGCCTGCGCCACCGGCGATTTTAAAAAGCCATCTATATACCCTTTCCCCAGCCGAGCAGGAAGACAATGAAGGTAATTTGCTACCTACAGGAAAGGCAACGGAGCCTGATCCACAAACCGCCCGCTTTCTGCCGCTAAACGGCACACCCCCCCTTAGAGCAGCCCCGCCCGGTACGGCATGGCCTGGCCTGGCCCCGGCCGGAGGCCCCGCTGCCATGTGCCGGGGACAATGCGAGTGGGGCGGCC